TTTTTTAGGTTTTTGCCATAGGGTATGTGCGTGCTTGCCAGAAACAGCTAGACACACAGAGGGAAAGTGAGAAATCACCCCTGGGGCGGGGGTGGCCACGCCTCGGCCCCTTCATTCTCCTACTGGGATTCTGGGCATGCACACACACAGAGCAGCATGTGATTTTCAAGCCGCTGGTGGGAACTGCTCAGCCATGTGGGAATCCAACGCCTTAACCATCACGCCACCTGCTGGCCGCACTGGGAACCTTTTTAAATCCCCAAGTTAGAGCACTCCCTCTGGGTCTCTGGTAGTCTTTTCCAGGTTAGGGACCCAAAGGATCTCCTCTTCCTGGGTCTCTGATCTGTCCATTCGGGCTCGGGCTCGCAGTCATCAAGAAGTGCTTGGGGGAAGTGAGCTGTTTATTTAGATGTAGGTAGGCCTGCTAAACGAAAGTGGGCACCCACCCCATTAATGTTTGCTGGGTGGTGGGTCCAACAGCACTACCCCACCCTCAAGGCTCAGCTCTGCTACTGCAGTCCCTAGCACAGCCCTCAGGTTCTTAAAAGTCATCATCATCACAGATGTCAAGGTACACGTCAAAAGCCTCTCTATTGCAGTTTCCATCAGGAGTGAAGACATATTTGTGGAAGGTCCCATCGACACAGATGGCTAGGGAGGAGAAGGGACGGTAGAAGGTTAGAAGCTACCCCAGCCACACACTCCAGTCTTATCAGGAGTCCCATGGCCTAGGTTCTACATCCAGGCCTTTGCCCAAGTATCATCCCCCTTACTAATGATAAAGTTGAGCCACACATTCCAGTTCCCTCAGCCCTACAATTCTTCCCAAGGCCCTAAAATTCTACCAGATCCTATCTGCAGGCCTTTACCCATGCAGTACCCCAACCAAGAGGATACTCCCACTCACCAATGACAGAGTTGACGTTCTTGGAAGTATTGCGACCGAAGGCGCAGATGCAGGCTGATTCGGCAGGCACAGTGAAGCTCGCCAGGCTCCACTGAGAATCCACGTATTGCCCAATCATAGGCCCCACCTTGCCCACGCGAGCCAGCCTGCAGGCAGCAGTGGCTAAGCACAGGTGTGGTACATGGGCAGGGGGATGGGGACACAGCAGGGTGGGGCAGGGGGTACTCACGCGGAGCGGCGGTTTAGGCGAGTATCCTTGAGAGCAAAGATATGGACAGTGCCCTTATCACTGGAAGCGCAGAGGAAGGAGGAGTCGTGGCTGAAGTTAATGCTGGAAGACAGACCAGCAGTGATGACGTATGTCATGAGGTATGGAGTCACCAGGCCACCACACATGCTCTGCGCTCACCAGTAGAGGGTGGCAGGGTCAGTGCCTCGGCGTAGCTCCACCAGTTTCTCCTTGGACTGCGTATCAAAAAGGCGAATAAGGGTGCCCTTTTGGGAGGCCGAGGCCACTACGGTGCCTGGCTGATTCAGGGACACGCAGGCCACATCACTCTGATGAGCATTGATGGTGAATGGAGCAGATGAAGTGCCAGGCTTTGTGCTCGCCAGGTCCTGGGGCAAAGGGTAAGTGAGAGCAGTTTGGGCTTAGGATGGTATGTAGCAGAAGGACCAAGAGTCCATGGAAGGAGGGGGACAGCCCACCCACCTTCCCACCTGTCCTTTCCCACTTGTCAGCTCACCACAAGTTGCAGACTTCCACACTTGTGTCCTGGGAACACTAGCAGTTGTTTCTCCAGGCTAGGGCAGAGGTCACAGAGCCCTGGGGTGTGAGAATGAAGCAGAAGCCGAGACCAGGCAGAGTCTCAGAATGGACAGGTGAACAAAGGCCAGATTTCAGCCCTCCAGAGCTTTCACTCAGCTGTACTTCCCACCAGCTAAGCAGATTCCTTTCCTCCCCACATAGCTACTATGATAGCCCCAGGGATCCCTGATACACCTACCTAGGTCCTCACTAAGTTTCTTCTTTTTAAAACTTTCTTCTGTTTGTAAGAGAGTCAGAGAAGGGGAGGGGGGCAGACTTCACCCCTGAGTCTTGATGCCACAATCTCAGTTTTAGACAGCCCTGGATCATGGACAGATGCATGCCTGGCATGCTCAGAGTAGTCTCTGGATATGAACCAAGAACTTTCCCATGTTGGTCAGCCTCACAGAGCATTGCATTTTATGGCTGCACCCCTGTCTGGCCCTCTTACTAGGTGTTTCTGCTCTGCCATCTGGGTCACCTGAGGTAGAGCGGGGCCAAGCATGGGGAGTGGGAACTGGCTGAATGATGGAAAGAGGGGCAGATTGCGAAATGAGCACCTCTTAGCCCATTTGAGTATTTCTGCACAAGGTCAGCTCATTGCCTCTTTCACATTTCTCTCTCTGTGTGTGTCCCTTCCTTTCTCTCATCTCTGCTTCTGTGTTCCATCCCCTGCCTAACACCCTTATACCAGCATATCTGGGTCTTCTCACCCTTGGGATTATCCCGGGTGTCAAACTCAAACAGCTTTCGGGGGTTGTCAGGGAAGGAGTACACATAGATGCGGTTCCTCAGCACAATCACGATCCTGTAAGCATCACACAACACAGGATGGCCATGAGGGGAGAGTGGGATGGCCTGGTGGGACTAACCCTCTCACCTGCTGTGAAGACCTCCTACCCCACCTACCCCAGTCCTCATCAGACTCACTTGTCATGGCGCATGCGCACAGCCAGCACTGGCTTGGTGAAGGTGAACTCCAGCACCAGCTTGTCCTTGGAGTCCTTGCCATCCCGGGCATCATCCCAGATCAGCACTGCTGGGCAGGTGGGTGGGTTGTAGGGGGTGAAGGTTCAAGGTGAGGGGCAGCCCTGGTAAGCCATGACCCACTGCTACTTCCCAATTGCTTAGCTTTTCACTAAACATCCAACGTGAGCCTCACATGGCATCAACACTGTGGACATGATCTCTGAGAGAACCCACTCTAGAACTGTTAAACTCATTTATAGTTGAGGAAAAGCTGAGGTTTGAAGGGGTTGAATGTCTGGCCAAGGACCTCTAAGCCCATTAGCAACCAAGCAGGGACTCACACCCAGGCCTATAGCTTTCCCTCAGTAACTATTTCTGCTTCAAGGGGCCCAGTCCAAACCCCCAGATTTCTGTGAGGAATCCTAGGGCTCTGTGACTCACCTAGGGCGACTCTTGCCATGTCCCGGTGAGATCAACAAGAAAAACCCTTAAAACAAGACGGCACTTGAGGATCAAGCCAAGGGGGCGTTGGGGAGATGTCTCCAAGCTTTCAAAACCTATTGGTTGTGTGACCTTAGATGAGTCACTTCACCTCACAGGGCCTGTTTCCTCACTGATAAAAATGGGGATAATGATACTTTCTATCACATAGAATTACTCTGAGAATTAAATGAGTTAATATATGTAACATCCTTAGAAGTGCTTAGAGTGCCAGGCTCACAGTAAGTGCTCCATACGTAAGGACACAGCACACAGGAGGCACTCAGTGTTATTTAAAAACAGAACACCAAGCTTCTCAAGCTGTAAGATGTATAACTTCTAAGCTGTAAGCCTCACTGTGTGACTCTGAGATGCTCTGACATCTTCATCTGCTAGTGCCTCGGGATGCCTGTGGGAGGCCAGAAATCCAGGGAATCTGGGCCAAGGCAGGAATGAGGGTGCTTACCTGAGATCTCCGAGAATTTGGGGCTGCTACCACCGCCCACCAGGGCCAACAGGTTGGAGCTGTGCAGCGTCTCCACCAGGCCCATGCTGCCCACCTGCTCGTGGTCTGGACAGGGACCAGGGTGTCAGTGGAGGTGGGAGCCAATGCCCTGCCCAGTCCAGCCCTTCTGCCCAATGTCCCTCCCCTACTACCAGCTCACCCAGATGCCCCTTCTCCATCAATGGCTCCACATTGTAGATGCGCACACCTGTCTCCATGGCGCAGCAAAAACAGCCTAGGGGGGTGGAAGGAATCCAGGCTGCCTCAAAGGAACATTCTTTGAAATGGGAAGCTGAGGCTCATAGTTCACCTCTGACTCTTCTCACCTGCCCGCCTGCCCTCCCCCAACCCACAAGAGTGCAGGTGTAAGTCTCTCTTACTTTGGTCTTGGTTGAAACGCAGGCTGGTTACTCCTCGAAGTGGCTGCTGAGTCATGGTCCAGGATTGCTCCCCTGGACACAAATAGGACAAAGTTGGAAGGAGTCCTAAGGCCTTTCCTCCAAGTCCTAGAACTTCTGTCCCCAAATGATTTCTTTCTCCTTCTCCCACTGTGCTAACTAATGACCCCAGCAGGACTGCAAAGAAGATGAAAACAAGAGGAGAGTCCTGGGCTTTCTGTTCTAAGCTACCAAGGCTCCAAAGAGCATAGCCAGAACACTCCCCAACCCTGCAACACAAATATTCTCAACCCCAGCTCCAAGCCCACACTGACCTGGAACCCTTATCTCCTCCTCACATGGTGGCCCTCACCTACTTATCAGGAAGTAATGGAGTAGGGGATGTCCCAGGCTTCCAATTC